TTACTATTCCAGGTTTGATGAAACATTCAAAAATGAAGAAGGATCAGAAGAGGTTTTGGTTACCGCAAAGGATTTCTTACTTCAGGGTTTAGCTGATGAAAATAAAGAAATTAGGTACTGTTTCTAATCTTTTTATCATTACATTTTGACGAGAAATCGTTTTTGAATAATTTTGGATCATAAGCATTTGACGAGTCAAAACTTCGGATATTTTTCAGGTTGAAGTTGCGAAATTTCTGGAGCGATGAAACAAGATTACCCAACTCTACTTTGGAACGACTGGTACAAGTGCTGCGTGCTATGTATTCTCCTAACACTGAGTCTCAGGTATATACGTGAACCTAGACCTAATTCTTACTTTCTATACTGTATTTCACATGCCTAGTTACCATTGTTCTGATAATATAAGCATAGAATGAAACAAAGGTAACCAAGAATTTAAATTATATATGTGAGTGAATTGGGTGGGAAAATTCACATGCCTAGTTACCACTGTTCTGATAATGTAAGCATAGAATGAAACAAAGGTAACCAAGAATTTAAATTATATATGTGAGTGAATTGGGTGGGATAACTCACATGTCTAGTTACCACTGTTCTGATAATGTAAGCATAGAATGAAACAAAGGTAGCCAGGTATTTAAATTATATATGTGAGTGAATTGGGTGGGAAAATTCACATGCCTAGTTACCACTGTTCTGATAATGTAAGCATAGAATGAAACAAAGGTAGCCAGGTATTTAAATTATATATGTGAGTGAATTGGGTGGGATAACTCACATGTCTAGTTATCACTGTTCTGATAATATAAGCATAGAATGAAACAAAGGCAACCAAGCATTTAAATTATATATGTGAGTGAATTGGGTGGGATAACTCACATGCCTAGTTACCACTGTTCTGATAATGTGAATGAAACAAAGCTAACCAGGCAGGAACAAGCTAAAGCTTGCCAGGGTTCCTTATCTGTATTTGACAAATGTTTGAGTGTTTGATATCTTTGTAGTTGGACTAATTTAAATCTTTTTGTTTTTTCTTCATAGTATTTAAGTTACACGACTAATCTCCTTCTGCAGTTGACATCACAGAGTCCAGATTTTGGACGCCTGATCTTTGAACAACCTCTTTCAGAATGCAAATTTCAAGTAAGAATTAAAATCGATTTTATAAATAGGTCCTAACTAGTGATGGCAATGAGCCATAGACTTACAAGAATTTCTCACTTTCTAGGAATACCAAATCAATTACTCTTGGCAGCAGAGAAACTCCACTATGACTCCATTGTTTGCCGCTACACAGATGCCATCATCATCGTCTCAAGTTTCATTCGGTAGTCTCTCTATGGATGTCACAGATGGAGGTCAACTGCGAGCTACTCAGAATCCACAGTTTAGTTTGACACAGACCGCGACTGGAACTGGAGCCACTGCCCAGACTTATGACTGGTTGAACCCTAGCAGTCTGGTAAGTTTGTACCAGTACAATAAGTCATCCTGATAAAGTGTAGAGTTATCCAGTATGAGTAGTTTAGGTTTCTTCTTGTAGTAACACTGGATCAAGAAGGGATGGTCCTTATTGGATCTCTACGGAGAACAGTTTAGAACTGATATAGCTATCCAGTATAAATAAAGTTAGTTTAGTTTACCTGTAGTAACACTGGATCAATAAGAGATGACTCTTACTGGACCTCTGGGGAGAACAGTTTAGAACTGATAGAGATATCCAGTATAAATAAATAAATGGTTTAGAACTGATAGAACTATCCAGTGTGAATAAAGTTAGTTTAGTTTAGGTTTCCTCCTGTAGTGACACTGGATCAATACGAGATGATCCTTACTGGACCTCAAGGAAGAACAGTTTAGAACTGATAGAACTATCCAGTATAAATAAAGTTAGTTTAGTTTAGGTTTCCTCCTGTAGTAACACTGGATCAATAAGAGATGATCCTTACTGGACCTCTAGGAAGAGCAGTTTAGAACTGATAGAGCTATCCAGTATAAATAAAGTTAGTTTAGTTTAGGTTTCCTCCTGTAGTAACACTGGATCAATAAGAGATGACCCTTACTGGACCTCTAGGAAGAGCAGTTTAGAACTGATAGAGCTATCCAGTATAAATAAAGTTAGTTTAGTTTAGGTTTCCTCCTGTAGTAATCCTATATAAATAAAGGATGGCTCTTACTGGACCTCTAGGAAGAGCAGTTTAGAACTGATAGAGCTATCCAGTATAAATAAAGTTAGTTTAGTTTAGGTTTCCTCCTGTAGTAATCCTATATAAATAAAGGATGGCTCTTACTGGACCTGTATATATTTGTAATCGGTCTTTTCATTTTTTCCCCTGATTTAGGATGTATCTCAATCTGTTTCTTCATCGTTTTCCGTTGGAAGTCAATCGTCCAGCTTGCTGTTTAAATCAAATCATGATAGGCGAAGGTTTAAAAATTTTAGACCAAAGTTTAGTTTACCTTCAAACTCGGCAGCTAGCCAGAGTGGTGGTTCTTCAAATGAAAGTAAGTTTGTTCTAGTGCGTCGTGTCTAGTTGACAAATTGTCGCAAATTTTAGTTACAAACGTTATTAGTTATTGGTAAGCTTACAGACAAGCTGTCCACTTCACTGAGGTGAATAATTGTTTTCTATAGCCAGAGCTTTTTCGTCGAGATTGTAAAATCCTCACTCCTGGTCGAAGTGTCGAACTCGTTAGTTTCAATTCGGTTATGAATGTTTTAACCATGGAGTGTCATATCTTTACTATTGGTAAAGACTGATTTGTATGCACTACACAAAAGACAAATCCAGACCATACTTCATATCAGTGACTATGTCATGTAGTAGTGTGGAATTTTTCTCTGTAATCAGTCAAGACTAATTTGGATACAGCACACAAAATACAAGAATTGTTTTACATAGAATTGTTAGGAATTTTTCTGCTCTCTTTCTTTAGATTCGTCTCAATCTGAAAATATCATGAAGTTAAAGAGAAGGTTTTTAAAAGACAGGAAAGGAGCGGATGTTTATTTTGCAAAGAGAGAAGTTGCTCGACAGAAAGTGCGAACGGTATGTTTCTTGTGATTTACGGTCGGACTGTAGTAACACTAGGGTAATGAGAAATGACCTTTACTGGACTTTCCAGTATAAATAAAGTTAATGTAGTTAAAGATTTCTCTTGTAGTAACACTGGATCAATAAGAGATGGCCATTACTGGACCTCTAGGGAAGTACAGTTTAGAACTGATAGAGTTATCCAGTATAAATAAAGTTAGTTTAGTTTTCCCCGTGTAGTAACACTGGATCAATAAGAGATGGCCATTACTGGACCTCTAGGGAGAACAGTTTAATTTAATTTATAATTTATAATTTAATGAAAGACTAGCTACAATCTTGGACATAACTGGTTGAGACTATTTTCCCCCTATAGAAAATTCGCGTATTTTTATGATAAACTCCATGTTGAATCATGTTGCCAT